GGAACTCACTTGGTAGCCCAGGCTGGCCTCGAACTCAGAGAGATCCACCTGGCTCTGCCTCCCAAGTGCTGGGATTAAAGGCGTGCGCCACTACCGCCACCACCACCCAGCTTCTACCTTGCTTTTTGAGACATAATATGTCACTGAACCTGGAGCTCACCGAGTCAGCCAGACTGGGTAGCCAGCAAGCCGTAGGATCCTCCATCTCTGCCTCCTCAGCAATGGGATCACATGCATGTATCACCTGCCCAGGTTTGTTGTTTTGCTTTGTTTTGTTTGTTTGTTTTTTATGAGGTTTCAGTCTGTAGCAATGGGTGGCCTGGAACTTGGTATGTAGGCCTCTGCTTCCTGAGTGCTGGGATCAAAAGTATGTACCACTCATGCCCAGGTTTTTTACATGAGTCCTGGGAACAAACTTGGGTCCTCATGCTTATATAACAAGCACTTTACCAACTATTAAATCCTTTACAAAATGATTGTTTGACTTGACACTTCTACCTCGGCTCACACAGTCCTTTGCATTTTTGCCATTATAATAAGTTAGTAGTATCTTGTGCTTTTTACATTCCCCTAATGATAGTAATGATACCAAGCAAAGGTAGAAGCAATTGAAGTGGGGTTTGGTTTGGTTTGGTTTTTTTTTTTTTTCCGAGACAGGGTTTCTCTGTGTGGCCCTGGCTGTCCTGGATCTCCCTCTGTACCCCAGGCTGGCCTCGAACTCACAGAGATCTGCCTGCCTCTGCCTCCCGAGTGCTGGGATTAAAGGCATGTGCCACCACCGCTTGGCCGCAATTGAAGTGTTTATAAATCCATAAATATCTAAAGAAAATGTTCTGTGACCATGCAATGGAATGCTATTTCTGTTTGTTTTTTTTTATATTTTTTTGGTTGTGAGCCTAGCCTTTAACGGCTGAACCATCTCTCCAGCCCCTGTTTGTTTTTTTAAGGAAGTTCTGACACATGCTATAGCATGGATGAAACTGGAGGGCATTATGCCAAGTGTAATAAGCCAGTGACAAAAAGACAAATGTCATGATCACACTTAAATGAGGTAACTAGTATCGTCAAATTCCTAGAGAGGGCAAGCAGTATACTGGCTCCTGGGGGAGGCAGGAATGGGGACTTGTTGTTCAATGGAAGTAAAGTTTCAGCTTTGCAAAAGGAAAAGATGAAGCTGGGAACATAGCTCATGAATAGAACACTTGCTTAGCATGTCTGAAACCTGGGTTCAGTGTCCAGTAGTTCATGCCCATGATTACACACACACACACACACATACACACACGAGAAAGATGGAAAGGAAGTTACCTTTTAATAAAGATTTATTTATTTTTATTTTCTGTGTGTGTACCTGAGTTGCAAGTGTCCACTGAGTCCAGAAGAAGATGTCGAATCCCCTGAAACTGGAGTTACTGGAGTTACAAGTGGTTGTGAGCCACCTGATGTGGTTCTGAAAACTGTACCCAGGTCCTTGGCAAAAGCAGCAAGTACTCTTAACTACTAAGCCATTTCTCCAACTCATCATATGTGTTTTGAACCCTGAAATGCACCATGATGACTTTTGCTTAGATAGCCAACTATCTTTTTAAAGATATTT